GTGGTGTGTTTTAACACGATTGGCCTCCGATGGCCCTATTTTTCAAGCTTAATTGTCGTGAAAGTGCATTTTGACTCATTTTTCGAACCGAGAGCCCCGTGCTAGTTCTGTAGTTTCCAAAACTCACATTTTGTCCATCCGAGGTGTTGTTGAGGTGTTTCTCGGGCCCGTCTCGTGTCTACTGCATGATTTGGCTTCCAATGGCCTATTTGAAGCTTAAGGTGTGAAAAAGTGCATTTTTTAACTTAGTTTTCAAAGCCGGAGTCCCCGGCTAGTTCTTAAGTTTTCAATAACTTACATTGGCCCCTCCCGAGGGTGTTGAAAGTGTTCCCAGGCCGTCTTGTGCGCTGTGACGATTTTGGCTCCAATTGCCGTATTTTTGAAGGCTTAAAGTGTGACAAAAGTGCAATTTTTGGACTTAGTTTTCAAACTGGAGTCCCGTGCTAGTTCCGTAAGTTTTCAAAACTCCCACATGGCTTCCCTCCCGAGATCGTTTGAGTGTTTTCCTGAGCATTCGCAGCTGTTTGCACGATTTTGCCCCTGAAGACCTAATTTTCAAGCCTTAAGTGTGAAAAAAGTGCATTTTTGGGACCTTTTCAACCCAACGCGGAGTCCCGTGCTACTTCTGTAAGTTTTCACAACTCACATTGATCCACTCCCGAGGTGTGTTGAGGTGTTTCTCAAGCCGTCTCATGGCTGTTTTCACGATTTTGGCCGTCGCAAGGCGTATTTCAGCTTAAGTGTGAAAAGTACATTTTTGGACTTAGTTTTCAAAACCGGAAGTCCCGTGCTAGTTTTCCGTTAAGTTTTCAAAACTTACATTGTCCCTCCCATGAGGCTGTTTGATGGTTTTTCCTGGGCCGTCCGTGGCGTTGCACGATTTTGGCCTCCAGTGCGCCTATTTTAAGCTTAAGTGATGAAAAAGTGCATTTTTGGACTTAGTTTTCACACCGGAGCCCTTGCTAGTTCCGTAAGTTTCCTCACAACTCACATTGGCCCTCTCGAGGGTGTTTGAGGTGTTCCTCACGGGCCGTCTCGTGGCTGTTGCTGATTTTTGGCCCGCGAAGGTCTATTTTCCAAGCTTTAAGTGTGAGAGAGTGCATTTTGGACTTAGTTTTCAAACCGGGAGTTCCTGTGCTAGTTCCTGTGTTGTGTCATGTGTCTGCCTTTCATAGGCCATATGCTTCCATGTTTTGTATCCTACTTGTCATTATTCTTGTGCTGGTCTTGTGTTAAGCCGTTTTGATGCCTTGTATCTGTTGACTAGTTACTGCATCCTGCTTTCTAATAAACCCAACCCCATTACTAATAAAGCCCAATAATGTGGTAACGAAGGAAGAATGCATTGATCACAAAGTTGTATCAACATAAATTGACATTTATTCCTTTTTTCTTTAGAAAAGTTTAATTTAACTTTCAAAACTAATTAAAAACAAACATGCACCACATGATGCTTCATCAATTACACTACTGAACAAGACATAAGACTGTAATATTCTTCACAATAATGATGTCGAGTAAGAAATTATATTCCCGAATGCTACACAAATCACTACCCAGAAAGAATTGAACAAGTCGATGAATTGATCCATGGCTAAGATTATTAGCTCCTCCAAAACCTGGAAACAAGATCAGTTGTGGAAATACTAATTCAAAAATATTTGAGCAGCCACAACTGAGTTAATGTTCTTATGCACCTTTGAAACTTCAAATTCCATCACGGGACTTTTTTGAGCTTGGATCCATTAAAGGCGAAAATCTAGGTGCTCCAATGGTTAGACGAATCCATGTCTGCAAAGGCAACTGCATTAAACCGACACCACACATCAGATGTTACCATATTCTCACATTTCCATTTATCAAGGGAACATTAAGTGCATCTGCTGCAAATGGAATGCTTCATCATTTCAATAATAATTTGTAAAATCACAAATCTATCTCATCGTATGATTCATTAAGATGATGAGATACTGATATGATAAGAAGTAAAAACAATTTAGTTGTACATTTAATTTCTATATGACATGAATAAGACACCTCCAAAATAACAATTTTTCATAACCAAAAGTGAGACCTTACCTTTCCATATTTGCAAAGATGCAGCACACTGTGCTTCTTGCTTCTGAGGAGCCTACGACAAACCCAACAACAACATGCAAGAAATTTAACTTTACTCAGTTCTTCCTTTATTTTTTATTAAATTTTTGTTTGTGGTCTGTGTGTGTGTAGAGAAAAGGAAGTACCTAATCAGTCGCAACCCAAAAATACCCATTGACAGTACCTTAGCCAATAAATAATAAATAAATAAATAAAATTACCATTACAGTAAGAGGGA